GGGAAGGACATGCCTCATCAACAAGGGTTCCTGCATGACCAACGTTTATATACTTAACCCTGAAATGTATCCCACATCTTTATAATAAAAAATTTTTTAAAAGACTGTTGTGTCTACTCTTAGATATATTTGAAATATCCATAATAAAATCTATATATATTTAATATTGATATAGCCACCTATGAGATACAGCCTTCCTCCTCCTCCTGCGGAGACCTTTATTAGGGAACTAGTCCATTCATAAACTAGGCCGCACTGGAGACTGGATATCCATACGCTGGTGAAACCTGCTGGCTGTGCTCACAGCTCATTTCCAAATTCTTCAGTTTCCCAGGGCCGGAGCAGCCACGCAGCTGACATGCTTGTTGTTAACTGGAGTCAATGTAAACAGTCAAGTGAAAGGCAGACCAGAAAGGCAAAAAAGCCCAGAGCTAGATGCTAAGCTTTGTTCCTCAGGAAGTTGGGGAGGAGGACAGGAAAGCAAGGGGCCCCCTAAAAGGCCCTCTATTAGTAGAAGCCCCTCTCCCTGATAGTCTAATCTGAGATTCACTTGGACTGGTGTCAGCCGCTTTTATAAGGCCTTTTAAGGTATGACAATGGTACTGTGGGTATATGGGGTTTTTTTTAAAAGAGTTCTTCTCTTATAAAAATAGATTCTGAAATACTTAGGATGGTAATGATATGGAATCTGGGACTTCCTTCAAAATTCCTTGAAAGGCTGCAGGGTAGATGTGGACACAGAGGAAGCAAGATTGACTGGGAATCAGTAACAGTCACAGCCAGGTGATGGGTGCACAGAGGCTCGTTTCACTATCCTATTTTTGCACATTTCAACTTTTCCATAATAAAAAGATTTTAAGATCTCCTTGGAGATTTAGTGCTACTAGTCATTCACACTTCAGTGGGAATTAACCTACCTTGTTACAAAAGAGAACTCCTTACCAGGTTTCACTCATATACAATAAACATTTGAACACTGTTTTGTTTGGCAAACAAACTTTTTTCCTCCTTATATGAAGTAAGAGCCTGGTCTCAATCTGCTCAGTGTCATGTGATTAACAACATTAACAATAACAACAACAATAACAACTAAAAAAAAAAAAACCCTCACATCATATTTTTCATTTTGAGTGTCAGTTTAATGTAGCTCTCAGCTCAGAGTTCTTTATCCTGAGTCCCTACAGAGAAGCCAATATCTTATTTAAGTCATTCTTCTCTTGTATAAAAATGACTCTTGGATACATCAAAAGTGTTGAAACCCATCAATGCCAATCTGTGAAGCAAACGCTCACAGTATAACTGCCCCCATGGTCCTGGTTGCTTCAGGAACTTTTACTTTTTATTAAAATGATGATCACATTCACAGTTATCTACAGCATGTGATTATGAATGTGTTTTTTGCCAGCTTGATGTTTAAGCTTGCCTTTCCATTAATAGTAACACTCCCATTATAATGAGAATAAATGTTGCTAATATACCATTTATTTTGCCCATGAGAAAAATTCAGGAACTAACTACACTCATACAGTAAATGACAAGTATCTTATAATTTTAAAAATCAATCAACAGCAAGCTGAGCCTGGCCATATGGAAGGAAGTAGAATTATGCTTGCAGAGGATGGACTGGCAATATTGAAGTATAAGGCACACAAGAGGACAAACAGCTGGAATACGGTGCTGTGAGGCCAGGCTTCAAAGCGCCAGGAGGCAAGATAAGGCAACTAAGCTCTGGTAAGCAGTGAGAGAAGAGGAAATGCTCACTCTCCTGTCTCTTCTCTTCTGTCAAGCTAACCTTTTTTGTTTTCCCTTCTTCAGTGAGCTTGGCCTTCCAGAGCATGACAGAAGGGCTGTGGGTTTGGGCTCTGGCGCTCGACCTCTTGAGGGATTCAAATCCAGCTCTGCTTCTTACCAGCTAAGAACTCTTCTGCAATTTACTCAGCTTCTCAAAGTTTCATCTGAGAACTGGAAAGATCAAGAGTTCCCTTCTCAAGGAACCCTTCTGAGGATCACATGCATTCATTCTCACCAAAGCCTCAGCACCATGCCTGGACCTGACAGCACGCACCTGCCTGCTGTTGCTAGTGCTATAGCGTTTGTTGTCTTACTAGTGTTTCTACCCCTGCCAGATTAACTTACACCTGCTGCCATTCTCTCATCCTTCTTGTTTCCCAAAATTCTCAGTCACAGGTGTCAGGAATAATCGTCACACGTAGTACAGGATGCTCCCCAGCTATCAGATGACCTTGTGGTGGTGTTTGAGTTCTGAGCGTGTAGTGTATACATACAGATGGGTAAGATGGTTTCCATGTTTTCAAAGACAGACACCTAGAGAAAGAATGCCCAGGAAGCCCACTTCCCCCCCGCTGGCATTAGGATGAATCACCATGTTTGGAATGTCCCAAAGAGTCATATTCTCTAAAATAAGATGTTACTTCTTCCTTTGCCCTGATAATATGAAAAGAAATGCCTTCAACTTTGCCCCTGCATTCTTTCATTACTCACTCCAACACCCATTTACAACTCTCTGGGTAAAAATTCACCCATTAATAAAACAACAGAGGAACATCACAAAGAATGTTGCAAAGGGTGCAATTAACATGAACACAAAGGGTTCAGCAGAACTATTGATAGAATGAAATGCTAATCTATTCACAGATGAAAGATCACTGGCAGAACTTCACATTGCAACCAAAAAAGACAAAAAACTTAGTCTGTGGTGGTAAATGCAATCTGAGGGCACCTCGGCTTCATCCTCACATCCCTGTTTTTATTCTCCAGCTTGTTGACTAGAGCCAGCAGCTCTGCTGCTCCAGGGTAAAGGAATCAAGAAAGAAGAGAAAGGAGCTTGGGGACATTGAGAGAGCTCCCCACCTGTCCCTCCAGTCCCCTCTGAGAGCTTACCACTCACTCTCTTTCAGCTGACCAGAACAACGAGGCAAGTGGCCCCGACATGGCTCCCCATATGACCTAATCTCCACACATCACTGCTGAGGTCCACACACAGTAATGATGAGAACTTTACAGCATCAAAGCAGTTGGAGACGCAGACACCATACGGCCTCCAAAGTGCCCCTGTCTGACCCACATCCCTCTCTAGTCACAGCGCAACCTCTCCCCTCGCCCACTCTGTTCCAGAGCCAGGGGTCTCATTTCTGTTCCTGCTAATGTTTTCCCCATGCAGGGTCTATCTTCTTGCTGTTCCCTATGCAGAAAGCAGGTATCCAATAAACACAGAACGAACCATCCAATCACCAGCCCATGAAGAAACTAGCAGCACACTGCCTGGAGGATCAAGCACCCAGTTACTGTCTCCTCAAGTCCTGCCTGGTGACCCTGCAGCTGGAGGACTCTACACGGAGAGCCTGCCCCAGACCCAGTGCTCAACGTGTTCAAGGATCCAGGGGAAGCGGGCCCTTGAACTAACCTGCACTAGTCTGACACAGTCCTCACAACTCAACCCACTTTCTAGTTCATCAGGATGTCTGGGTTTATTGAATGAATGAAGATTCATTCATTCAATAAATTCAGACATCCCCAGCCTAGAAGGGCCCTAAAATACTTTCATTCCAGAGTTACACAACATTTACTATTGGTCCATAAATGGTCACTGAGTATACAGAGTCAGTAAAGACACAGTGCTACTTTGCAGGGGCTCAGAGTCCACCAGGGGAGAAAAAACATAGGTTCCCACAGGGCTTTCTGGGCATAGACCAATGGCCCAGCACCCCAGTACTGCCACCAACCAATTCTGAGTCTCATGGCCTCATGAGTGAGTCTCTAAGGAAGGGTCCAAGGGTGGGCAGAGGCCATGTGGGGTGGACAGTCTGCCCAGTCCTTAGGCCTTATCAGCCTGGCTTTTGACTTTACCCATCAGCCTGTTCCTTTAATGTGCAACTGAATTTGGCTAGGTAATATCTAGAGTTTTTACACATCTACACATGAATGAGATTAGCCTATAACCTTTTTTCTGCTGTGTCAGGTGTTTTTTTTGTTGTTGTTGCTGTTGTTTTTGAGTTGGAGTCTCACTCTGTCACCCAAGCTGGAGTGCAGTGGCACACTCACGGCCATCCCCAGGGTTGACCTGCTGGGCTCCGATGATGCTTCTGCCTCAGCCTTTCAAGTAGCCAGTACTACAGCATGTACTACCACGCCAGCTAATTTTTGTATTTAGCGTAGAGACAAGGTCTTGCCAAGTTCCCTGGGCTGATCTTGAAACTGTGGGCTCAGATAATACACTCTCCTCAGCCTCCCAAAGTGCTGGGATTATAGGCTGAGTCACCAAGCCCAGCCTGTCAGGTTTTTTGTCTCAGGGTAATGCACACCTGAAGATAGATAGATAGATAGATAGATAGATAGATAGATAGATAGATAGATAGACAGATAGATAGATAGATAGATAACATTAAGGAAATATAAAGAGCAAAGGGCTCTCGGTGTGCACCTTGGGGCGATTCCTAGAGATCACGACAAAATCATCTAGGCTTGCTACCTCTTAAGGAAGCAGTTCTTTCATCAACTTTTACAGCTTTTTTCCACAGTGGTTTTATCTGAGGAGAGTGTGGAGGGGGTCCTTTAGGCAGGGGGTCCCTTCTTCAATTAATTCTTATACTGAATATTATCCTAGAAAATAGTCTACTTTATCCATATTTTCACATTTAACAAAGTTGTATGTGATATTCTCCTCTGTTTTTATTCTCCAAGTATGAAGTTACATTTGTTTGCTTATTTTTAATGTTATAGATTTATGTTTTCTCTCTTATTTCCTTACTATAAGTGCTAGAAGTTTCTAATTAAGGTTTTTTTTCCCCAAAGAATTCACTTTTACTTCTCTTTATGACGTACACTGGTTTATTTTGTTTTACTTTGTTTTGTTTTTTGGGAGGGGAGGGTGTTTGGCTGTTTTGCTGATATCTCTTTGGATCAGGCTGGGCCTTTTCCTGGGAAGCCCCCCAAAGCAACCAGCATCTGGAACAGAGATGTGCAGACTCATCTGGCCTTACCTCAATGAGCTTCCTTTCATAGGAGCTTGCGAGTTCTTCAGTGACTTCTCCCGGCTTCTGTTCAGTTACTGTTACTTCGCCATCAACATTCCAAAGATTTGGCACAACTTTAGAAAAAGAAAGACACTCTATAAACATCTTAGCAGTTGATAAAAATTATTCTCCTAAATCGGGCTCAGTGGCTCAGCCTGTAATCCTGCGCCTTTGGGAGGCTGAGGTGAGTGGATTGCCTGAGCCCCCGGGTTCGAGACTCACCTGGGCAACTTGGTGAGACCTCATCTCTTCAATAAATCAAAAACATTAGCCGGGTGTGGTAGCGCACGCCTGTAGTTCCAGCTACTTGGAAGGCTGAGGCAGAAGGATTGCCGGAGTATTAAAAAAAAAAAAAAATTTTATTCTCCTAGTAAAAAAAAATGTTTTTTTTTTCCCAAAAGGCATCTCCAGAGAAAAAGCTCTCGGAAGGAAAGCACGCACACACACACACACACACACACACACACTCTCTCTCCCTCTCTCTCTCTCTCTTACTAATTACTTCAACACTGCAATATTTTCATATAAGTACAACAAAATGAGTGATAAGATGCATTTTAAACATGCAAGAACCGCCTTGAGATACACACACCAGAGTCTGGAAAATAACCTTGCCACTACTTTCCATTTCAGGGGAAACAGACAATGCTGTGGAAGACACGAGTGCCCACACTTGGATCTTTTACATTTACCACATTCCCTTTTCTACAACAAGAGAGGGATCCCTTTGTGGACAGTGTCTGCCCATAGCCAGATGTGGAACAGTAACAGGTTGAGATTACGAGGGAGACAAGAGGTGGCATTTGTAAGGCTGCCATTCAGATGACAGCAAAGCAGCCTCTGGCAAAAGCCTAGAACCAATGCATAATGTTGAGGCAGACATGTGGCTCCCAGGTCAGAGCAAGAATAAGCCCAGCAGGTCTCTCTGGGCAATGTGCCTACAGTTTGGTAGATGCCCATCTATGCCCACTTTGCAGAGAAGAGAAAACAGAGAAGTGGGAATGAGCCAGATAGTTCCAAGAAAAGTAGGAGAACACAAGCAGGAAAGAACTCCTACACCAGGGGCTAAGAACAAGACCCAGAGGCATGTTTGAAGAACATGGATTAGCCTCAAGTCTCAAAGCAAGCACCAGCGATACAGACTCAGTTCCCTGTGTGTTCTCAGAAACGCCTGGATGCTCCTGTCAACCATAATGAGGAGGCAATATAACAGAACAAGAATCGACAGTGGCAGCCTTCAGGGAGAAAGCAGGGGAGAAGAAGGCTGAGCAGAACTGGGAGTCATCGCCCATGAGGTAACCTTGGGTTCCACCTTTAGCCCGGCAACTACACCTCATTGGCCCCATGGGTTAGTGCCTGCTGAGACAGCAAGGACCTGAGTGACAGCACAGAACACGAATGAGACCCTAAGTTGTTTCCATCTTAATGATAACAACTATTCCAGCAACTACAGCAGGGAGTGACCCAATAATAATCTGTAACCTGAAATAGATATGTAGAGAATAAATTCAAAGGGCTTCCAGTTAAAGATGATGAACTCAACACATTACTTTACCTTCCTATCCTCTCAAAATCCCATTAAAATATCAATTTAGAAATTTTTTCTGTGAAGTAATGGGTATGCTAACTACCCTAACTTGATCATTATGCTTTCCATACATGTATCCAAATATCACACTGTGTCTCATAAATATGTACAACTATTATGTCAATTAAAAGTAATAATACAAGCAAAACAAAACAAAAAATTTTGGTTTTTTTTTTTTATAAAGACATCTCCTTTAAGGAAATACAGCATTGGAGAGAAAACAAAAAATTATAGACACTAAGAAGCAGGTAGGCAACTGAGAAGGAACTTCCCATACCTGAGAAAATGTCATTCGTAGCTCGAAGTGGACAACATCAAAATATCATCTGATTAAAACAATGTGATTCACAAGGGGTGGATCAACTGTTAGCACAAGGGTGAACACAGGGCGAAAAACCGAAAGAAAGGGTAAAAATCTGTTTGAGAAACAATTAGCAGAATACTTTGGGTCTGTTCCCTGGAGAAGGTAGCACACTTCTCCGTTGAAGGTTGAGATATCTTATTAAAATGGGGAGATAAAAATAACACACACTGAACTTTTGGGGTTCGTCCATTCTTCTTCCTTCTCCTCAACCCCCGAGCAACAGGCAGCCAACCTGTACCTCTAAGCAAAAAAAAATAGAAGGAAGCCTCCTGGGAATCTAACCAGCCTTTAAGATTAAAAAGTCTTAAAGAGGCTGGTCAGGGTGGGGAACTTCAGTGTACCAGCATAGCCAGATCACCCCACAAGAAACCCAAGTCAACATTCATGGAACTTCTAATCAGTTTTTCAGCACCCCACTCCAACATCTGAGCAGATAGCCAGAAAT